CAGGGGGGATTCCCTAACTGTTCACCTCTGGTCAGACCATCTGAATCTTAGCTCCAAGACTTTCCACCCCCAATTGACTCCTGTGGGGAGGCACTGAGACTGGGTGTATCTTCTGCGTCACAGCAGGCCATCAAGGTTTTCAAATGGGTCTTGAGCTCAAAAAGGTCGAGAACCCTGCTCTAAAGAACATTTTAAAATAATTTCAGAGTACCTGATGTGTGGAAGTGCAAAAGGTTTTATTGGAAGATATATGTGATGAGACAGAAAACTCACTAGAGGCTTCCCTACTTGTGAATAACCAGGCTGTCCCATACTCATCAATAAATACTTTATATCTCCATGGCCCCTATGTGAATGTAGGCTGATAAATACCTACATATCATATATTGATCGATACCACTATACTCCATCTCTGTCGATATGTGGGTATCTTTTTAACTGGGAGTTTCACTAAATTGGAATTGCACTGTATATAGTACAACTACCACCACCAGTGAGGAATAATTTCTCACATGAGTGGTGTAATAAGAGAGTATCTCATGACTGTTAGATTACTGTTGTGAAATTCTGGCATTATTTTTTGGGCTGGGATTTTCAAGAGAGCATAAGGGAGTTAGGTGTTCAACTCCCATTGAATTTCAATAAGAGTTGTTGGCCTAACTCTCTTAGGCTATGTCTATACTACAGCTGGGATCGATGCTCTGAGATCGATCCACTGGCGGTTGATTTAGCAGGTCTAGTGAAGACCCACCAAAGCAACAGCAGATCACTCTCCAGTTGACCCCTGTACTCTCCCCTGATGAGAAGAATAAGGTAAGTGACCCCCCGCGGTGTAGATCCCACGGTAACTTGACCTAAGGTATGTCGACTCCAGCTTCGGTATTCACATAGCTGGAGTTGCGTAGCACAGGTTGACTTACCGTGGTAGTGTCGATATAGTCTTAGGCACCTTTGAAAAACCAGCCATAAAGTGCAAGAGAAACCTAAGAAAATTATTCTAGCACTTTAGTCAATAGGAAATTGTGGAACCGAAGTTAATGGCATAATAATGACAAATCAATAAGAGCTGCTCACAACTATTTTGAAATCCAATAGTTAAAAAAAAAGTTTATTTCTCTCTCTTTACCCAAGAAAATTTAACCCAACAGGAGGTCAGACACACATTTTATATTATTTACTCACATTATTTATATATCATGTCTTTCTTTGTTGAACCAACACAGTGAAACGTCAAATAAGGATATAGAGATACAGTAAACCATGTGAGCTTTGATCTTGTAGTTATCATTAGGTCATCAGAACTCCATGACAGCCTTATATCATATCACTTCTTTTTTCCTTCTCTGTTTTTGAGATGTACCACAGGTTGGTGGATTTGAGCACAGTAGGGAGAACCAAGAACTCTTAAGAGCTAATCCCAGCTCTGACAATGACTCCCTCTGTGAACGTGGGCAAGCCACTTAGCCTTTCTGTATCTCAGCTTTTCCAACTATAAAACGCAGATACCACCACCACTTATCTACCTCACAGGGTGCTATAAAGATTAGTGTTTGTAAAAGAACTCTGAGGATAGAAATTGTTATACAAATTAAATACTATCATTTATAACTATTGTATTTTTAGCACAGTAATTGGAAATAATTGGTACATGAATTATGTTATTTTCAGTATTGTTGCTAGAAACAAATTTAACCTAACATTTATGCTTAAATCACCTATAAACACCCCCCCAATAATTTAAACCATTTCCTCCATTTCAGCTAACTCATCTCAGTGTACAATTCATTTCCAAAAAATCTTTAAACAAAGTGTAGCCTGCCTAATGTTTCTTTCATGATGAAAATAAAAAAGCTAAACTATCAAGCAATTTTCTTTCCTTCTTTGTGCGTGTGTGTGTAATGTGAATCCACATGCATACATCTATAGCACAAAATACATCCTTCCCACAAAGCTGACATTACAACCAAATTATATTCTACAGCTGTTTCCTAGGTAACCAACATAGCTAGAAGTCGACTTTAGGTAGCATAAAGAAACCAACATTCACACCCTGGCGTTTGCATTTTTAGAGGAGTGCCTTTTAAGGAGTGCTAAGTAACCTCCTCAATACCCCTTGCAGTCAATGGGACTTAGGAGTGCTCAGCAAGTAGCAGGATAAGGCCCATAGATAGCCACAAAGCTGCAAAAAACACCAGCAAAAGACAATGTCATATAAAGAAGTATTTAGCTTGGATGCTCTAGTTTCCTTCTCCAGACCTGAAGAAGAACTGAGAGCACCTGAAAGCTTCTTCCTTCCACCAACAGAAGAGGATCCAATAAAAAATATTACCTCACCCAACTTGTCTGTCTCATATCCTGGGACCAAGACAACAAACGAAACATTGTTGTCTGTTGGAGACTAACAATCTCACTGGTTCATAAGAAGGATAGTAATTCACGAGGTTTCATCTTTCATGGGTTATAGTAGTACCTTCCCTCATTCACAATCTATTTCAGGGAATGAGGATAAAAGTTGCATTCCACCTTCACCTAGCCTTAGAAGCAAATATAGCTATTTTATTATGTTCACATCCCCTTCCAGACTGCTGTAGCTCAGGAGGGAACTTCTCATTGTTCCTCTAATTGGTTGAAGCATCTGTCAAATATACCCTGCTTTGATCAATTAGCTGGCATCTTTAAGTTGTCAATTGAAAACTGGACACCAGTCTCTTGAATTTCATACAGTCACTGGAGTATATAGAACTCTGTAATGATCAATCCCTGCTTGCCTTCCCATGCTCTGCTTCTATATTTTAACTGGCTGGGAAGCTGAATTATTCTGTGCAGAACTGAATATTACGGGTTTTTTTTTAGTTATTTCCTATGTGAAATGTATTTTTAAAATTCCATGTCAGCTCCAGCTTTTAGTAGCAGGACAGCAGAGAAAGTCACTATATTGAATAGAGTACTAATGGAGTAAGATTTACTCCTTGGACACACACGTTCCCAGGGTGATGGAAAAGATGCTTCTATCAGGAAATTCAATGGCAGGTGTAGGTAGGAAGCACTGAAGATCAGCCAGTTCCGAATAATGATTGCTATGGAAAACATGTGGGCTGAGGTAGGTTTATTTTTATGGCTTGAAAAGCAAATTTCTTACATTTCTCCTCAGGACTCACATTACCACTCCACTTTATTGTGCTGGAGTCTGCCCATTTTGTTTATAGATTAAGTGATGATTTCAAGAACTGAATATATTTAATGACAGACCTCCTTTAATAATTAGTGTTAGAATTTGCAAAAAGTGAACATTAAATAAAGATGCAGCCTCTACTCTAAAATTAGGCTGACGAGATAGCAAGTGTCAAAAATTGGGACAGGAGGAGGGGGGGTAATAGGTGCCTATGTGAGAAAAAGACCCAAAATCGGGACTGTCCCTATAAAATCGGGACATCTGGTCACCCTATCTAAAATAAAATTAAACTGTGGGGTGTGTGATTTTAAGGTCAGGCTTGACAAAGCCCTGGCTGGGATGATTTAGTTGGGATTAGGTCCTGCTTTGAGGACTAGATGACCTCCTGAGGTCCCTTCCAACCCTGATATTCTATGATTCTATGATTATAGAATAGGTCTGGTGGTAATATGCTATACTTCTCACTTATTCAATCATAGTATATTTTCTTATTCCAGATCAATTTTCAGACTTGGTTTTTCAGTATTAAGATTTCAGATTAACAACCTAGCTCCTTAGGATTGGTTACAATTTAATTTTCTGGAACATTAAGGTACCAGGAACAAGATCTGATTCTGCAACATTCTCTTTTCAGTCCTGATACACAAGCTTACAGAAGTGGTGAAATAGTCTCATATGTATTATTGGTGTAAACCACTTTTGGAAAACAGACAATCTTGATGATGCAAGTTTCAAACATAAAATAAAATTTTGTTATTTCATGGTGGTAATGATTCAATTTCAATTCAGATTGAAAATAGACTCAATTAGATTGCTGAAATAATGTATTTTATTTATAAAAATATATCTACCAAATCACTTACGGTGGGCTCAGGCATCACTTTGCCATGAGCCCTGCAAATAGGGTAGTACTGCCCCAGAAACAGGCCAGGAAACCCTTTGCTCCCCTGCATGGGCACATAGGACAGGAGTGTACTGTATATTTGAGGTAAACTCAGTCTTCTCATTCTAGCCAGACTTCTATTGTATTTATTTCAGATAGGTTATCTGTTGTTAATTTGATTAGTTTTTTTTAAAAAAACCTCTGCATTATAATTTAATTTTATATATATATATATATATATATATATAATTAATTAAATGCAGAGGTATACACACACAAATACACACACGTGCACACACTTTCTTCAACCCATTACTTTGACTCCTGCTACTGCTGAAGAGGGATTGATTTTTAGGCTGGCTGAAAATTGGAATTTCCGTCCTGTGGGAAATTCCAATATTTTGACATTTGTTTTTGTCCCAAATTGAATTGAAAAGTCAAAATATTGAAATCTTTCAGAGAACAGAGGATTCCAGCAAAGTATGATTTGGAAATATGGAAACATTTCATTTTGACATTTTCACTCAAAATGACATATTTTGACATTCTCCAAACCTAAAGTGTTTAGTTCAATTTGTCAAACTGAATCAAGAGATTTCATTTTGGGTCAGTTTGACGTTAATCTCTGTCCTCTGAACTGCTACAGTGCCTTGTGGGAGTTGTAACTCAGGTGCCTCATACCTCCCTTCTGCTCTACTTCTACAATGATGCACCAGTAGTTCAACCACAGTGGGGAACGCATTGCATCATGGGAGATGTAGTCCAGCCAAGATGCCCAGCTCATAGAAGAGAATGGGAGCATGAGGCACTGTACCCAGCTAAGGGAGAGAGAGATAAATACTGAACTGGCTTGAAACAAAATGTTTCAACTCAGCTTGACAAATCAAAATATTTCATTCTGAGCTGACCAACCTGAAACAGAATGTTTTGTTTAGATATTCCCAATGGAAAAATAAATTAAAAAATGGCAGAAAAACGCCTGACCAGCACTACTGATTTTATTAAGCTTTGCCTAATGGTAAAAGCTTTAACCACATCATCTAAATGAAACGTTCAAACAATAATGAAAATCTAAATAGGAGAGGAATAGGGGAAAAATGTATTATCCTCCCTTTATACTGAATGTGCACAACCTATATAAAAATCTGTAAAAAAAGCAGCTATTTTCAACATTGTTATTGGGCTTATAAAAAGAAATAATGGGCAATTTATGCTTTCTGAAATTAGCTACAACAAGGTAAGTAATTGCTGTGCAAGTCATACTACGTTTTACAAACTATGTTCTTCCACTGAACAAGATTCTCAGATTGCCTTTAAAAGGTATAATCTTCTGTAATCATTTTTGGAGTTGAAAGCAATTACTTTTCAATGGGAAAAGCAAGTGTGAGAACAAGGGCATCCAGGACCAGAGTTCCCAGTAGTTTGTAAACCCTGACCTTTCATATTCAGTTACTGACCTGGTTGGTAAAAGGACAGTGCAATGATTAACTTACTATCCCCCTCATCTTAAACTGCATGAAAGGCCATTGAGACCTGTGTCTGGTATGCAGCTTTGAAGAAGAAACCTGTATAAGGTTTGATCATCTAACAAGGAATTTTCACCCCTGTGCCCCGATAAGGTGTGAGTTTAGTGTAAGTAAAATGCATGTAAGGGAGATGAGAAACAAGAAAGAAACCCCCCACCAATAAGTTAAGGGCAGTCAGATATAGAGCGAGCTTGGGTCAGAACTGATTAAGAGTTCTCCTGGGAGGCCACACAATAGGCAGGTGGTGCTGTTGCTACTACAGCAGGGCTCAAAGTCAGCAAAGAAGCTGCAGAGTATGAACAAACAGTAACAGAGCAAATTCACAGAGCTGAATGAATACTTCTGCCCGGCTCACTCTATCACATAAATAGTTTGGTTTTCAGTGTCAGAGGATTTAAACAACAATAGGTAACCGTGGGAGGAAAATGTTAGCGGCAGTAGTATGAAGTAACAATTGGCGAGAAGAGGGAAAAGATTACGAAGCTTTTATTAGGCTGCCAGCGCAGACCTATCAGCACACTTGCACTTTGTGGGTTAGACCCACATCTTCCCCTTCCCACCTTCCAAGGCCATTTGATCACCTGCGTTTTGGAGGGAAGAGATGCAATGGGGCCAGTCATTTCCCTTCAGCACTGCAGGCTGCTGGGGGAGTTGAAGGGGGAGGAAGGGAGAGGGAGAGAGAGAAATTACAGCAATGAATCCAGGTAGAGCCTTTCTGCACCTATGCCATAGGTGGTGCTGTGGGAGGGAGGGAGATTACTTATTATAACTCTACTGTCTTGTTTTCCTCTCCCCCCTTCTTCCCTGCAGCTAGGAAAGGAGCCGCGAGAAGGAGTGTAAAGATGTGGAGAGCTCAAGAGGGAGTCAGGGGAATGGAATGGGGCCAAGGTGAACAGATGAGTCAGGGGATGTTTTTTTCTGAGGAAGTACGAATAAGGTTAACCGAGTATTCAGAAGATTTGAGAGGTAAGGGATATGTTTGCAGGGGTAAAGCGATTAGAGCAATAAGGGATTCAATGGAGAAATCCTGCAAATGAGGTGAGGCAGCAAGAGGATGAGGGGTTTAGGCAATCTGTGAGTGAACAAAGTGCATCCAGGGGAGCAAACAAAGGTCTTGGGAAATAACATTTAATTTTTTTATTAAAGTTAATGTTTAAAATTAAATATACACAAGTTAAGAGGGAAGGTATTGCACATCTGGGGTCAGGCTTGAGTTATGAGGGATTACAGATACATACATATCACATAACCAGCATAGACCTAGATTGGGGTGCGGGAGTTTTTAAAGTGTCAGTGGATAAGTGTCAGTGGGCTCGGGTACGCCACCCATGGAATGTATTAAGTATTAAAAGGAGAATAGGAGGACTAGGACAAGTGGAGTGTGGGACATGGATGAGGATAGGAATTCAGCGGGTAGGGTGGAGGAAGGAAATAGAGTGGATAGAGGGTAAAGTGAGAGAGAACAGTGATTGGAAGAGAAAAGTCTTGAAGAAAGAGAAAAGTTGCATGAAGGTCTTTAACAAAATTGGAGGAGAACAGAGGAAAGTGGGTAAACAGATACGTAGCAATTGTTGTTTCATTCAACTTTTGAATACACAGTAAAATAACAAGATTTTTCTGATTATTAGATAGGTGATACCTTAACCCTGGGCCTAGCCAATTTTGGATTACATATTGGATGGCACCCTCATTTTCATTCGGAAAAGGTAGTTGTGGCACTGTGCCATGAAGTGAGCATCTTACTAGACAACTGCATGGAAACTGGGCAGCCACAGGCAAGGTAAGCTAGTTATGATTAAAGAAATGTTACAACCTTTGAGAGACTTTGAGGACTGCTGGGCGGTCTGTGTGAGTTAATGCGATCTATGAGAGTGATTGGTGTTTGTTTATGGAATGTCTAAAGGCAGAAACAGATACTGCAGAGCAAGAAGGCAACAGAGAGCAAAGCTGCTGAACTGAAACACCCCCTGTGGTCTGTTTACTGTTTTCCATAAAGAGGAGACAACATGTATCCAAACCCTATACCCTTGAGTCAGTTCTTCAGGTGTACAACTCATGAATTTATAATTTATTAACAAGTTAAAAATCGTAATTGGTGGGTCTCAGATTCCCGAGAGCCTAGAATTACCCTGAAAACTAAGACTTGGTGTTAAGATTCAATAACTAGTAGCTTTATTGAACACATCCATTCTGGCAGGAGGTTTACCTGCAGCACAACTGTGAAAAACTCTCAAATTCTTGATTCATAATCGCACTAGGTCTCATGCAAAACCTGGAACAGGATTATTTGGGGGATGCTACACTTTAGATAGGATATTGTTTTACTCAGGAACAGTAAATGGCTCTGAGTCAAAATGGATGGAACTTCTGGTACCTTTCTTGTTTGATTCACCTTTACAGTCTAAAATAAAGGTTTTGTGAGCTTTAATAATAAGAATACTCAACGCTTTCCAGAAGCTATACACACATTATCCAATTAAGCCTCACAGCACCCTGGAAGTAGGTAATAAGTCAATGAAACTGAGGCAGAAAGGTTAAATGATTCGCTCAAGGCCACATGGTAGAGTCATGATCAGAACTGAGAAGTTCCTGGCTCCCAGCCCCATTCATAAGGCCTCAACTCTACCGTGAGCTCCACAGGGATGAATTCCTGAGCATGCTCACAGCTTCACTGACATCAAAGGGTATGTCTACACTGCAATTAAACATCCATGCCTGGCCCATGTCAGCTGTCTCGGGCTAGAGGAGTTTGCGCTAAGGGGTTGATTAACTGAGGTGTAGATATTTGAGCTCGGGCTGGAGCCCAGGCTCTAGGACCCCATGAGGGGGGAGGGTCCCAGAGCTCCAGCTCCAGCCTGAATCCACATTTCAATTAATCAGCCCCTGAGCCCAAGCCCCGTAAGCCTGTATCAGCTGACATGGGCCAGTCACTGCAGTGGGCCAGTCACTGTACGGGGCCTATGGGGCCCCGTACAGGCTCAAAAGTCCTCCTGCACACACAGCACATTGCAGTATTGGGGTCTTAATCTTCTGGACCACATTGCCTTTGATTTAAATAATACAATACAGCAAAAGTAGAGTTGTAAGAGTCATACTGCTATATTTCCTATTGCCTTCTAGTATTGTGCTGTTCAACACAATACAGAGCACAGATATCACAACAATAGGCACTAGAAATACTTGAAAAGATTTATCAATTTACTCTGTGTTGCAATACTGTAAATTAGCTGGGTGATTTTTTTCCAGTTTCGTAAGCAACAAAACTAGACAAATATTGTCCTAACCCCCAAACAATTGCTTTATTAAACTATGAGGGGAGATTAAAGAGGCTAGGACTCTTCAGCTTGGAAAAGAGGAGACTAAGGGGGGATATGATAGAGGTATATAAAATCATGAGTGATGTGGAGAAAGTGGATAAGGAAAAGTTATTTACTTATTCTCATAATACAAGAACTAGGGGTCACCAAATGAAATTAATAGGCAGCAGGTTTAAAACAAATACAAGGAAGTTCTTCTTCATGCAGCGCACAGTCAACTTGTGGAACTCCTTACCTGAGGAGGTTGTGAAGGCTAGGACTATAACAACGTTTAAAAGAGAACTGGATAAATTCATGGTGGTTAAGTCCATTGATTGCTATTAGCCAGGATGGGTAAGGAATGGTGTCCCTCACCTCTGTTTGTCAGAGGATGGAGATGGATGACAGGAGAGAGATCACTTGATCATTGCCTGTTGGTCCACTCCCTCTGGAGCACCTGGCATTGGACACTGTTGGTAGACAGGATACTGGGCTAGATGGACCTTTGGTCTGACCTGGTACGGCCGTTCTTATGTTCTTATGTATGAAAATGGCAGCTTTGAAAGAGGTTTTTTTTAAAAAGTGAGTTAATTTTCAGTTCTGTATGGTAGTTTCTGACAGCACTTTTATTTAGAGTGATTATTAATCAGCTTCAGTTCAGAGAGTTTTCTAATTTAGGGGAATCTATATTTTGTCTCTTTCATCTGTATCAGGTACTAAAATATGAATGTCTGCACTCATTAACAAAATGGAGAGCATTGTCTGATGCAGAGAGACTAGTGCTAACCCAATGGCACAGCATCCTGAATCTCAGTACAGAAAAGATTTAAATCTGAACTTTACATATTTTTCATGCACTCCTGCACTGAACCCCATATTCCATATATATGAATTAGCTAAAGTACACGGACATTCTGGGACATAGCTACTTATTTTGGATACTCTTTGTGGTTAATTCCACACAGTCTAGGAAACTCATGTCCCCATTTAAAAGATCCATGGAATAATGAATGCATATAAGGACAAGAAGTTACAAGAGAAGTACATGTGATGGTGGCAAAAACATCAGAGTTGGCAAAGAAGACTTAAAAACAAATTTTTAAAATGTATTTTGACAAACTGACTAGCCCAGTTATGTATTTCTTTAACATTAGCTGGTTTATCAAATCTGCTGACCTAGTATGATGATTATACTGTGAATATCTAGCATCAGAACCAGGGGTGAAAGAAAGGCAGTACGGAACTGTACAGCGTACCGGTAAAAAGTGGCTGCCAGTAGCAGCTGCCCCGGGGCCAGCAATTTAAAAGAGCCTGGGGCTCCGGCCACTGCTACCGCAGCAGCGGCCAGAACCCCAGGCCCCTTAAATCTCCGCTGGAGCCGTGGGCGGCATGGGCCAGGCAGCATGGATGGGCTGGCTGGGGGTTGCTGACCACCCAGCCCCACCCCTTCAGCCCGAGGCCCTGCCCCTTCCGGGGAACGGGGGGAGTCAGCCCCTGTACCGGTAAGAGTTCAATTGTATTTTCACCCCAATCAAAACATTACTTTGACACAATTTGCAGGGTTCAAATAGTTTTACAGTATTATAATACATACACTTCATCTTTCTGTAAAACAAACGTTTAGCCATTTCTGGGTGCACCCTGGAACACAATTTTTTAAAAACAATTAAGTTCATTATGACATGTTTTACGTGGGCATAATTTGTGAAGAAAGGTATTCAAACTCAATGTTTACACTAAATATGTGGCAAGGGAGTCATTTACTAGGCTTTCATACAAAATACAAATTTATTACTAAATGTTCATGTCTAAAACTCTGTATGTAGTACAACATATTTTAAATTATTAACATCTCTGCTGGAGAAGCTTCCTTCATAAAATATTTACACAGGACCTATCAGGACTCTCTATTTTGTCAACAGTTACAGAAGGTGTATGATAAATATAGTTAACAGGTCACACTTTTTCTCAATATCCTATCCTTTTTAAATTAAAACCAACCAACCAAACCTCAAGTTATTCTTACATTAGGAACTTTGTTATGAAATACTGCATTCCAATATAACACTATATTCTGATTCCTAGGAGCAGTTAGGGTCAAAGGGCAGCCCTTATGTTAATGATAGCACATGGCTATACAATACAAGGTGCATGCATGTGACTATTATGTTTTCAGTTAGTAGCAACAATATACACCTCTACCCCAATATGATGCGACCCGATATAACACGAATTCGGATATAATGCGGTAAAGCAGTGGTTCCGGGGGGGGGGGGGGCTGCGCACTCCAGTGGATCAAAGCAAGTTTGATATAATGCAGCTTCACCTATAACGCGGTAAGATTTTTTGGCTCCCAAGGACAGCATTATATCAAGGCAAAGGTGTATGTAGTAAAAAGCCTTAAGGAAACTTGTTGCAAAATGTTGCCAAGTACACATACAATTCTTTTTACAAAAGTAACAAATCCAGGAACTATAATGATGTTTGGTGCTACCAACCCTACGTTTCAAACCAGGCAAAAAGGAAGAGGTATATTCTTTAAATTAGAGAAGTTTTTTAAAAAAATATGCATTGGGTAATTTACTCTTTTCTAATGTAGGTAATAAAACTAAAAGCATTTCCATACTGATTGATAACACTGTATTATTTGACCAGAGAGAGAAGAAAATGAAATTCATGATGTAAACTTTTAAAGCTTGTTAGATTATTATTTAAAACTAGGCAAGAAAAATGTTCTGATTTTTGCAAGTAGTGTTCCTATGGGATAGTACAAAAGAGAGCCAGCGGCGATTCAAGCTCTTGATATACAGTTGTTTAGGCTATTGGAAAGCTTCTCAACACAATATGGGAATTTTGTTGGCATTTGAATATTCAGTTTGCAAATGTCAAAATACAATTTTAAAGAACAGTATAAAGGAACATAAGAAAATAATTAATATACAGAAATACTGTTAAAGTTAAAAACACAGTCAAATACTTATGTGCTCAAAAATAAACAAGATACCATTGCTACTACAACTTCAGTTTTATAACCTGGTTTGAAACATTATCCTAATAAGTGTATATGCTTCTTCACGGTGGCAAACACCAACATTTTGAATAAGGTTGGTAGTAATACTATTTTAAGTTGTGTACACTAAATACATGTGTTGCAACAAAGGGCTAGCCTTAGCTTATATCCCCAGAAGAAGAAAAAAACACACTAAAAAGGGTTTCTTTACTGTTAAAGTAGGCCTAAAGTAAGAAAACATCTATCACAGTCCAAGAAATGAGGCTTCTATGGTTTTCACATTGTGGATTTTTTAAAATTTTGTTTTAAAGAAGGTGTTACAAGCAAAATCAACCCAACAAAAATAATTTTTAAAATACATCGGGAACAAAAGAAATCCTAGCAATGGAATAGGTCCTTTACTAGACATGGATGGTAAAATCACCAGTAATGACACAGAAAAGGCAGAAGTATTCAATAAAATTTTTTGTCCTTTGTTTGGAAAGAAACTGTACAATGTAGTCACATCTTACAGTGATAATAAAATACTTTCTATCCCCAAAGTAACTACTAAACTAAACAGCAACTATTAAAGTTAAACATTTTAAATTCTGCATGACCAAGATAACACGCACCAAAGAATTTTAAAAGAACTGGCAGGGGCCCCCTGAGCCCATGATGTTGAAATTTACATTATCATGGAACAAGGGGGAAATTCTAGAATGCTGAAAAACAAGAAAATATTGTGCCAATATTTAAAAAGGGTAAATGGGATGACCCAGGTAGCTACTGACTAGTTAGTCCAACATTAAAATCTGGGGAAAATCATGGAAAGGATTATAAGGGATGTAGTCAATAAAGCATTATAGAATGGTAGCATAATTAATGACAATCAACATGGCTTTATGGAAAATAGATCTTGCCAAATGAACATGATCGCATGTTATGATGAGATTACAAATTTGGAGGATAACAAAAATCTTGACATAATATTCTTAGTCTTCTATATAAAAGAGCTAGGGAACATTAGTAGTAAGATTACCTTATGATATTCTGAACCAAAATTAGCATTCTACAAAAATCAATGCAGCTCATATTAAATGGATTAAAAACTGGCTAAGCGACAAATCTCAAAAAGGAATGGTGTCGTTTCTAGTGATGATATATTAATGATCGGTCAGTTCTTCAGACCTATCTGAATTGCTTGGTAAACTGGACTCATTTGAATCACATAGATTTCAGTATACCAAATGCAAGGTCAGGTACTTAGAAGCAAAAAGTGTAGATCACACTTACAGGAAGAGGGCTGTGTCCTGGAAAGCAGTGACCTTGAAAGGCCCTTGGGGATCACACGGGATTACCAACTGAAAATGAGTTTCCAGCCCAATGGAGGTTCAGAGCTCTTAGCAGTCCTTGAATGTATAAGCAGGGGAATATCAAGTAGGGAGTAGGTGGGTATTACTTCTACATATGGCATTAGTGTGAGCGTTACTAGAATGCTGTGTCCATTTCTTGTCTCTACACTTCAAAGTGGATCCTGACAAATTGTAAAGGGCTTAAAAAAAGATTGATTTGAGGATTGTAAAAGCTGTCTTACTAAAGAAACTCCATCTATTTCGTTCATCCAAAGAAGGTTAAGCAGAGACTTGATCATGGTTTATAAGTACCTAAATAAAGGACAAGATTTCTGATACTACAGGTCTCTTTTAATCAAGCAGACAAAGGCATAACAAGATCCAATGGCTGGAAGATGAAGCTTAGACAAATTCAAAGTAGAAATAAGACACATGTTTTTAAATAAGGACAATTAACCATTCATAGAATCATAGAATATCAGGGTTAGAAGGAACCTCAGGAGGTCATCTAGTCCAACCCCCTGCTCAAAGATTAAACTCACAACCCTGGAGTTACAGGCCAATGCTCAAACCACTGAGCTAACCCCCCCCCCCCCCTTTGAAACAACTTACATAGGGACATGGTGAATTCATTGTCATTTATTTTAAAATAATGATAAAATGAATGTGTTGAGTGCCACAGAGCCAGATTTTTGGAAGTTAGGCAATAGGTAATAATTTCTGCATTTATAATTTGTATAGGCAAATATTGTGTTTACATACCAATCAGCTATTTGCACAAGCAAACAGTTAAGAGTCTAACTAGCCATGCATTTGTACAAACAGCTGATTGTAGATTCTGGGTAGAGGCCAGTAGGATTTACTTTTATATAGAGATTCCCTTTATATATAGAAACATATATACAGCCTCCCGTCTGAAAATGGAAATACTACTACTTACTTACTTCACAAGGGTGTTTTGAAGCTGAAATTCATTTTTTGTGAGGCAGTCAGACACTAGGGTGATGAGTGCCACCGAAAAGGATATAAATGAATAAACAAATGTAAATCCTCAATCTTATTTGTTTTCCTTATTACTCCTTCAATCCCAATCAATGTGTTTTGTCTTGTTTTAGATTAGATTGTGTCTGTATGGTGTCTATCACAGTGAGGCCCCCAACCCAGAGTGGGGTCTCATTGTGATACTGCAATACAAATAAATAAATGCAAATGATGTTTGTAACACAAGTTAGATATGTGCATATTTAACTTGGAAAATTTGACCCTTACCATCTGGTGACTGGAATGTTTTGTAAAAACATTGCTGATTTCAGTTACCAACTGCAAAAGTGGATTAGACTAACACATTTCTGGAGTTATTGTCCACTAAACTTGTGTGATCTATTTTTGTTTAGTGTTATCATCTATGGACCAACTAAAAGTTGTAGTAAACGTAAATAAGAGTTAAATTTTCCTGCTGGCTGAAGAATTTGCTAATTGCTGTGATATTTGCATAATAATTTTCACTGGTTACTAGAAGAAATATATTCTTTATTGTATATGAATAAATGAATCATATAGGTGAAGAAATAAATTATTCACTAACATCAGCTATTTAAAAACTGTTATTAATACTTTTCCTTATGTTAATTTTATTTAAAATATTATTTATAACATGGTATGTACAAAATTATACTACAGTATAACCTCAAAGTTATTAACACGTGAATTACGAACTGATTGGTCAACCACACACCTCATTTAGAACCGGAACTGTGCAATCAGACAGCAGAGACCAAAAAAAAAAAAAAGCAAATACTATACAGCAAAGGGAAAGTTTCTTCTGCATAGTAAAGTTTCAAAGCTGTATTAAGTCAATGTTCAGCTGTAAAATTTTGAAAGAACAGCCATAATGTTTGGTTCAGAGTTACGAACATTCAGAGTTACAAACAACCTCCGTTCCCCAGGTGTTCGTAATTCTGAGATTCTACTGTATTGCACAAGTACATTACATTTAAGTTATGTTTTAAAATCTCATTTACAGTTAACATCTCTGGTTCACTCCATTTACTCTAGATCCTCCAAACCGGGGATGTTTCCCAGCATGGGAGAGTCCTCTGCAGGCACATAGCGAGTGTACCTGGCTCCTAGGGCACTCTCCCTGAAAGGGAGGAAAGGGAGATGGTGGTGTTCAATGTGATGTACAGTAATTCGGAATAGAGCATGCTGTGCTGTTGGCTACTTCAATAGGAGGACTGCACCTTTGGGACTGTTTCCAGCTAGCACAGTTTGGAGCAGCTCCCTGACAATCCCGCTTTCTGCTCTGCTTAGTGTACACTTAGCAAAGTGAGAATCTGGCCCACAATTATTTATCTTTCTGAATATTTGTCTCGAACATTTGTGCCATACCAATGAGGTTAACTGCCTAGCAGAAGACTGAAAAATATATGATTACAGACTAGTTTGAATGCATTTTAGCTTTAGCACTCATATGGTATTATGTTTATAACATACAACACACATTACAATTTACTGAAAAAGCAGTAACCCTATAAAAATTGTTGCTTCTTTACAACTTAATACTTCCTGCTATCATTTCTCATAGATCAAGAAGAAACTATGACAGCCACAAGGATGAAAAGTAAACTGAAATATGCTTCCATCTAGAAAAACAGAGACCTCTGAGGCATTATCACAGATTCACACTTTCAAAGGGGCCTAGAAGATTTTTTCTCCTTGGAGGGTGCAGTTAGCAATCATAACAACAAACTGTATTTTCAGCGGGGGAACAACATATGCAGTCCAAGATTATTTACAATAAATGGGTGTGAATGTTCCAGAATTTTAAGAAGGCTAATAAAAACTACCAATTTCTCAGTAGAAAAAAGAAAAGTTGGAGTAAAAACAAAAAGGTTTTAAACAATCAGCTTTATGGGATGATTGAGAATTCTAAAGTAGAATTATATTTGTAACACAAGTGTTAAGTCTGCTCTGTGCTGATTCTTTCAAAACCCTTTAAATCATTTAACAGAAAACAGGTGTTTAAACTCTTATAGTACATCTGTCATACTCATAACTTCTTTTTTTGTCCTACTGAATTTAAACGCTAATACAAATGTGACCATAGTTAGCTCAGCAATGAAGAATACCCTTCATAAAAATACTTTTATAGATGTATGAAAATGGACTAATAAGTCAGTGTTTCTGGCAAACACTCAATAAATCATATATAATTCAATACAGTAACAAATCACTTTCTTTGCACCTTTACTTAATAACACCTCTCTACTGAAAATTAAATGTTCCAGCCTGACATGATTTAAAACAAATGTTATTATAAATAAAGAGACTCATACACAATAATTTCATCTACTTCAGTAATAGTGAATAGTGAATGATGCTGTCAGATTAGGTCTTGGTTTGACTTGGAGAAGCTACAGTAGCTGCCACTTTTTTGTTATGGCTAAGAACATTTTATAAAAAGTTGATCTAGCTCTATCTTTATTTTTATTGGCAAAAAGCAATATTAAGTCTTCATGCAAAATAGCATGACTCTGGCTTGACAATAAAGAAGAATCAGCAACGTGGGCAAGGTATTGCTAAAAATTTACTACATGAAGGAACCATATACTACAGTAAACTCATAATTAAAGTACCCATGGACCTTGTCATAAAAAAAAACAAACGGTGAATTACAGGCTTGTTAGAAGGAAATCCACCTGTTTATCCATAAACAGGAACAATTAGCATTTAGAATTGCTGACGCTGGACATGGTGTAATTTGTTTATTGCTGCCACTTCGGTTACGTATTTCCAACCAAAATAATAGGCACAGAGGTGATGTGCTTAGTCTCTGGGGCAAAGCTTGCCACCTGCACAACTTTTCAGCAACCCAGGCTTGCCAATCAACACAGCAGCTTTGACAGTGATCTCAGAGGCGGCTTTGAGTGTTAACCTCACCAAGAGGATAAAGGTGTTGCACACACAGTCAAGTGGAAGGTCATTAACAATACAAGAAAATAAACACCCCATCAAGGGCTAACTCAGAACAAAAAGAGAGGTACACCTCTACAGTTTGGGTTTACTGGTGCCCCTTAACATGAACATCAGGCACTGAAAAAAAATCAACTTCCAGCAATTAAAGTCACAAAGCTTTCTGTGGTTATAAAATAGTCAACAGGAAGTGATTAGCAATGCTGGCAGAGAATAGAGGTGGTTATTCTCTTAATGAAACCCTAGGTCTGAGATTTCTACCTCAGCTTCCACCTATTTGTCATAATTATAGGATGCCTATGTAATAAGTCAGATTTACTTCCTCCTGTTATCTGTTTGTTTTAGTAAATTCAAGTGTTTTTAAGATAATGTACCCCATTCAACCTCTAATGTTTTGGACCAATTGCTCATTTTTAAGACATTGGTATATAACAACAATGTTGCTAACTCTTGTGATTTCATTACCAGTCTCACCTTTAATTTTTTTAAAAGTAGGTTGGTAGCTGTCATGGCTGCACAGAGAGGCCTGAAAACATAAACCAAGTGGACCCTAAAGGTTTCAAAAATAAGAAACCAAATAAAAAGAACACATGATTTCTGGATGCTTGAGGTTGACATTACTGTAACAGGCTGGATTAAGACAACATCTGAGCCACATTCTGTTCTGAGCTAGGGATACACTGAAAAGCAAGAATCAGGAAAAGAACTCCCATCCACACCTGCAAGGCCACCACAGCTGGAGCAGCAAAGAGCAAGGTACAGGGCTTGAGGGGAGGGCCTGAACAGTTTAGTGTGTACGTGCCCTAACCTGGCCTATCATACCCCCTTCCAGTGCAAATGACAGGAGATATCTTTCTGAGAAAGCTTTGCATGAGGCAGATAGGACATGGGCTCTGGTTAATGCTGCTTTTGCAGTGTTTACATGCAACTGTATGACAAGGCAATTTTGCTGTTTTCATGAATTTGACCCCGAGGAAGTAACTTGGAAGGCAAATGTCAATGCAATAGGCATAGTCAAATATTTTTACAAATGTATCAACATGGAATGCTTGAAAACTACTGAGAGTTAATCGAGTTGAGAGAATAAAACACTATTTAATAATGTTTCATTCCACCTCATTTTTTAAGTTCCCATATTGTTTGAATACTTCCATTAGCATACTTGATCCGAACCTCGATATCTACTGATGCATCATTATAAATAATTGAGTACAAGCCTATGGGCCATTTCATTGGAAAATGCATTCTTGAAAGTAGAAACTGATTCTTTTCATCTCACGCAGCTCAAAAATTTTAAAATAATTGAATTTAACTTCGGTAAAGTGATTCGAAGCTACAACAGTATCTCTCTCCTTCCTTACTGCTGACCTTTTTCTCTAAAGCCCATTTATTGTTTTCAAGCCCTAGCCCAAGCAATTAAACTGACCCAAAGCATAGTATTCCAACCATCTCTTTCTGAATAGAATGACACAATCAAGGTGATCCCTTTAAACCTTTTCACATTTTAACATCATAGCTGCTTTAATAATCTGCCTCAGAACACCCTTATATTTATCATAGCAATACACTGAGGAGTTTGTTTTTATTTCCCTTACTAGCTTGCTTAGGGCCAGGTTAGCAATGTGCATAAGGGAAGTGTGCACCACTAACATTTTTTGTGGCTCAGCGCATTGGAGTTGAGGGAGAAGGTGTGAAGCCAAAGCTAGCCCCATTAATTATATGCCCACTATACAGGAAGGGGACTAGTAGCCAGAAGCTATTGCTTTCCACCTGCATTACGAACAGGGCCGGCTCCAGGGTTTTTGCCGCCCCAAGCAGAAGCAGGAAAAAAAAAAAAAAGCCGCAATCGCGATCAGCTCTACCGCCCCTGCTTCAGTCTTCGGCGGCAATTCAACATCTGGTCCTTCGCTCCGAGAGAGAGTGAGGGACCTGCAGTGGAATTGCCGTCAAATAGCCCTACGTGCTGCCCCTCTTCTTTGGCCACTCCAAGCACCTGCTTGCTGGGCTGGTGGCTGGAGCTGGCCCAGATTATGAACATAGATGTGCATGCTTTAGATACCCTTATTCTGCAGCACAGACATAGGCCAGCTCATGGTTGAGCTCTTACTAATTTTACCTTTACACAAAGTTGTCTCCTTATCCAGTAGACTAGATTTAGAATGTTTTTCTAGAAATTTAGAAACTAATTTTAAGAACATAAGAATGGCCCTACTGGGTCAAACCAAAGGTCCATCTAGCCCAGTATCCTGTCTTCCGACAGTGGCAGTGCTAGGTGCCCCAGAGGGAGTGAACAGAACAGGTAATCATCAAGTGATCCATCTCCTGTAGCTCATTCCCAGCTTCTGGCAAACAGAGGCTAGGGACACCATCCTGGCTAATAGCAATTGATGGACCTATCCTCCATGAACTTATCTAGTTCTTTTTGAACGCTGCTATGGTCTTGGCCTTCACATCCTCTGGCAACGAGTTCCATAGGTTGACGGTGCATTCTGTGAAAAAATATTTCCTCTTATTTGTTTTAAATCTGTTGCCTATTAATTTGATTTGGTGACCCCTAGGTTCTTGTGTTATGAGAAGTGGCAAACAATACTTCCTTATCTACTTTCTGTATACCAGTCATGATTTTATAGACCTCAATCATATCTCCACTTAGCTGTCTCTTTTCCACGCTGAAAAGTCCCAGTCTTATTAATCTTTCCTCGTACGGAAGCCGTTCCATACCCCTAATAATTTTTGTTTTCCTTTTCTGAACCTTTTCCAATTCCAATATATCTTTTTTGAGATGGGGTGACCATATCTGCACATAGTATTCAAGAGGTGGGCATACCATGGATTTATATAGAGGCAACATTATATTTTCTGTCCTATTATCCACCCTTTTCTTAATTATTCCCAGCATTCTGTTGGCTTTTTTGACTACCGCTGCACATTGAGTGGATGTTTTCAGAGAACTACCCACAATGACTACAAGATCTCTTTCTTGAGTGAAAAAAAGAGATCTAACATCTAATTTAGACCCTATCATTTTATATGTATAGTTGGGATTATGCTTTCCAATGTGCATTACTTTGCATTTATCAACATTAAATTTCATCTGCCATTTTGTTACCCAGTCACCCAGTTTTGAGAGATCCTTTTGTAGCTCTTCACAGTCTGCCGGGGTCTCAACTATCTTTAGTAATTTTGTATCATCTGTAAATTTTGCCACTGTTTACTCCTTTTTCCAGATCATTTATGAATATGTTGAATAGGACTGGTCCCAGAACAGACCTCTGGGGGACACCAGTATTTACCTCTCTCCATTCTGAAAACTGACCATTTATACCTACCCTTTGTTTCCTATCTTTTAACCAGTTACCAATCCATGAGAGCACCTTATCCTGTGGCAGCTTACTTTGCATAAACGCCTTTGGTGAGGGACCTTGTCAAAAGCTTTCTGAAAATCTGAGTACACTATTATCCACTGGATCCCCTTGGTCCACATGCTTGTTGACCCCCTCAAATTCTAGTAGATTAGTGAGGCATGATTTCCCTTTACTAAAACCATGTTGACTCTTCCTCAACAAATTATGTTCATCTATATGTCTGACAATATTGTTCTTTATTATAGTTTCAATCAGTTTGCCCGGTACTGAAATCAGGCTTACAGGCTTGTAACTGCCAAGATCACTCCTGGAGCCCTTTTTAAAAATTGGCGGCACATTAGCTATCCTCCAGTCATCTGGTACAGGAGCCGATTTAAATGATAGGTTACAGGCTACAGTTAGTAGATCTGCAATTTCACATTTGAGTTCTTTCAGAACTTTTGGCTGAATACCATTTGGTCCTGGTGATTTACTGCTGTTTAATCTATCAATTTGTTCCAAAACCTCCTCTAATGATACCTTAATCTGGGACAGTTCCTCAGATCTGTCACCTAAAAAGAATGCTCAGGTTTGGGAATCTTCCTCACATCCTCAGCTGTGAAGACCAATGCAAAGAATTCATTTAGTTTCTCCACAATGGCCTTATTGTCCTTGAGTGTTCCTTTAGCACCTCGACCGTCAAGGGGCCCCACTGGCTGTTTAGCAGGCTTCCTACTTCTGATGTACTTAAAAAAAATTGCTATTACTTTTTGAGTCTTTGGCTAACTGTTCCTCAAATTCTTTTTTGGCCTTCATAATTGTATTTTTACACTTCATTTGCCAGTGTTTATGCTCCTTTCTATTTTCCTCACTAGGATTTAACTTCCGCTTTTTAAAGGATGCCTT